TATCTCTCTATATATATCTCACAATACACACATACACACTTGCCTGGGTGGTATTTCTTCAAATACTACAGTCCTAGCAGTAATTGTATTTAGTCTGGTTGTTCCTAAGACAAACACACATAACTTTAATTAAATGCACATCCAGAGAGGAGACCATCTTGAAACAATTAGGCTGCGCTCCGGTGCAGGGCTGCAGGCTAGAGCATCCTCCCACTTCCTCACCACTGCCATGGAAGGGAGCAGACGGCCGAGGGAAGCCAAGCGTGACTCCATAAACACAGCCTGTCGGTCCTAACTCTCAGCCCTGCTCTCTCTGGTCCTCTTCTGACCCAAGATATCACCCTTCCAGACTTTCCTAAATGAGTTCCAGTCACTGATTGCTTTCACTTAAAAAAAATCCCTCTGAGATCAGTTGTAGAGGGAGAGACTTTTCAGACCAGGTTTCTTATCTTTCCCTACAGGAAATGTTCCAGGAAGAAACGGAGAAGTTGGAAGAGTGACCAAATCACACATCTGGTTATTGACCTTGGGTAATGGAAGCTTCTGGAGAACGTCTGCCAAGATGGCTGCCTTGGTGGCCTCATTCTAGGCACTTTCAGGAACATCGGGTTCTCTGGGGAGTGAAGGCTCTGGAATCAGGAGGAGTCTACGTCAGACTCTAATGTTCACCAGGTTAGCTCTATTCCTCTTAAACGACCAAGTTAATGCACTCTTTATGAATTTACCCAGGATATTACCAGACTTCACTGCAAGGCTTCTTTAAAAACTGAATTCCCAGTGATCAGTTAACAAAGTATTATCCAAAGAGATATTACAAATAGAAAAATTAAATGCATATTAATGATGAGTGATGAAAAATCTTGCACTAAAAATAATGCTCTTCTTTTTCCCTTTTTTCATACAGTTCTAGCTTCCTACACAAGAGTCATCAAAGAGAAAATGACATAGTCAAAGAGAAAAAAAAAAAGCAGCCATACTAGGCAAAAGCTCTGGTTCTAGAGCTCAGCAGGGTATCACGTGGGCTTTACTGTTAGCATCTGCAAAATGGAAGTGATTGTTTTAAAAACCAGTGCTGGGGATGGAGTGATAGCACAGCACATAGGGCGTTTGCCTTGCATGCAGCCAACCAGGGTTCGAGTCCCAGGTCCCATATGGTCACCCGAACACCACCAGGAGTGATTCCTGAGTGTAGGAGTCGGGAGTAACCCCTGTGCATCACTGGGTGTGACCCTAAAACAATAAAAATTAAATTAAATTAAAAGATGATAAAAACCCATACTGTGTGCATTTCTATTATTACAAGAGATGAAAATGAAATATTGATACATATCATCATGAATCTTGAAAACAATCTGCTAGGTGAAAGAAGCAAGGACAAATTACCTCTTTTAACAAGATTCTACTCATATGAAATAGCAAGAACAGGTAAATTCCTAGGGACATAAACAGATTAGTGATTGCTGGGGGGGAGGAGTATCACTGGAATTTCATTTGGGTGCTGAGTAACTATTGAAACTAGATAATGATGATAGTGCATAATATCATGAATGTACTGAATGCTCCAGCAAAGGTTTTCAGGTGGTTCATATTTTATCTTATGTGTAACTTGGCCCCATAAACAAAAAGAGCAGACACACTTTCATCAGCAAAACATACACATTCATAAAGATGCTCACAATTGAGGCTAAGTCACTAATCTACATTTTCTATCTTCTTCATTTTTTGGTCTTAGACAAAATAATCAGAAGCATTTATCTTCTCTTTCTCAGGATGGCTATAAAAGCTGTCCTGTGCAGACCTGCACAGCTGGATTGGGAGAAGCAGAGGGGAAAGGCAGCTGTAGAATGTGTCTACAACACCCCAAATCCCAGGACACGTTCAGGAGTGTAATCTCAGGCACTGTGCTCAGAGAGCTCTGCCTCTCATGTGATATTTTGTGTGTGTGTGTATGTGTACGTGCATGTGTGCATGTGTGTGTTTGTGTGTGTGTGTGGTCGGTAAAGGGGGAGGCAGGCCAACTTTGTTCACAAATGTGTATTTGTCTACCATAAGAGAAGCAGTGAGCTTGATGCTCTAATAATAGTAGTGCAGTCAAGTCACAGGTCTTTTCTGGACCCCAGAAGAGCCCCGGCAGTGAGAAACCTCCAGAACTCAACCACAGTCATGCTCTAGGTCACCTTCCACAGGCTGGGACAGGCCTCACCTACGAGAGAATTTGCAGAAAAAACCCAGTATGAGAACCCGTGACTGAAAGCTCCAGGCTCGCTTGGGACGGGTCTGGGCCTCCTCCTCCTCCTAGATCCCCAGTTTTCCAGTAGCTTGGAAGTTACATCCACAAACTGCCCCCAGCGCCATATAATCTCATCAACGGCCAAGAATAGAGCAGCATAGACCTTACCCATGTGTAAATCTGTTCTATAATCAAATTCTAAATTTCAGAGTTACTGGACCTCTCTGGACCACCCTAGTCTTCAGATGTACCAAAAGTAGCACACACTTATTTAGGTTTAATATACATGCTTGTAATCTCTTATACAAAGGCTTACGTGGCTCCAGATGAAATACAACAATCTTTATACACTTTTATCCTATGGTGGTGGGAAGGTGCATGGGGGTGGGATTGGTGTTTGAATATTAAACATAATGAATTATTGTTAACAACTTTATAAAAATAAAAGTAATTAAAAGGGAAAAAATCACAGGCCTCCAATCAAGGAAATCATCATCAGAGTCCAAGAGGATCAAAACTGAAAACATGGAAAGCATGAATAGGCAAATGACTCAAGAGAATATTAACCAATCACCAACGTCCATCCACTGCTCAGAGGGTCCCAATGATCAAGTCAAGTGTTCTACCTTGTACCCTGGAGAGGCCATCCTTGGAAAATGTGGAAGAAAATAAACAGAGGCAGGAAGGAGGAGCAGGGGAACTCAGCCTGAACACTGCCTGGCTTGGAGATTATGGTCTGAGCCAGGAATCTTTCTTCCCTCTGGAGACGACTAGCCTGGCTCCTGCATACAGCTCAGTCCCATTCCATGCGGGGACCCCGAAATCAGCATGGCATCAAGCTACGCGACTCAGGGAGTTCTGGAAAGAGGGGTTTCTGTGACGAAAGTTGCTAACATTGGACAGTGTCCTGGCATTTTTGTTCTTCTGTCTACAGTTAATGTAATGTCTAGATCCCTGTTCTTCAACCTGTGGTCTTCAGTCCATCAAAAATTTACCCTCAACCATGCAGCAGCTCTGCACAGCAGCAGATGGTCACACTAGCTAAAACTGTATTTTCCTAACATTGGATTTAAAAAATTAAATGATATCTGCATTGATTTCTGTTTCTATCAGCTGGTCCATGTAGCATTTCTCCTGTTTTCCTGTCTGTAGGTACAAGAAGGCTGTTCTAAATGAACCTACATGGGGCAAATAAAAACAATACAGCTTTCTTCCCTACTGATCCAGAACATCTGGAAGTGGCACGCATGGCTCTTTTTATCCTAGGGGATTTCAGCCAAGCTCTGCCAGATGGAGAAGGAAAGGGCCTGAGTTTTATTGAGGACTCGCTTTGGGCTAGCATCTTCCCTACCATAACCAGACCTGTAGGCCCCTCTCCCACACCTACCTGCTTCATTCTGCTCGAGAGCAGTATGGCAGCACTGCAGCCTTAGAGAAACAGGAGGTCAGGGAGCAAACTCCAGGTTCCTTACTCGAGGTAGGATAACTGGGATAAACCAGGAGGTGGTCAACCAGTTGAGTCAGAGAATCCAGATGTTGGAATTCTGTGGGACTTATAGTCTGTTCTGATGACTCAAAGCTACCTTTGCTGGGCAGAAGCAGCCTGCAGTCTGCTAAGTGAATATACATGACTATCACTGTATCACTGTTACTGTGATCCCGTTGTTCAATTTTGCTAGAGCGGGCACCAGTAATGTCTCCATTGGGAGACTTGTTACTGTTTTTGGCATTTCAAATATGCCATGGGTAGCTTGCCAGGCTCTGCCATGCGGGTGGGATACTCTCGGTAGCTTGCCAGGCTCTCCGAGAGGGACGGAGGAATCGAACCTGGGTTGGCTGTGTACAAGGCAAATGCCCTACCCGCTGTGCTATCATTCCAGCCCATACATGACTACGTTCCAATAAAACTTTATTTACAAAGATTTACAGTGGGCCAGTGTGGGCCAATATCTGGTCCATATCTAAACAGATGCCCAAAGGTCATGACTCGAAATGAATCCCAGATACCATAATAATAAACAAGCAAAAGGCTTCATCTCCTTTCTTGGGTCACTGGTTACAGAAACACCCTACATTCACGTCCTCAGTATGGCTTGGGCGCACCCAACTAATGTCAGTATCTTTTGTGATACTTGTATCTACACCAGAGGCTATGTTCTATTACTTCATCTTATAGGGAACACACAGACAGTCCAGACTATCACTGGGTCCAAAGTCAAAGATCAAACCTTACATAATACTGCCAGAGTAAGACTGGATACAGATTCACTGAGACACACATTCCAGAATACATATTTCATCAAGGTGGTGAAGAATAGCACAACGAGAAACTTCTAAAGCAAAACTTTTATGATTCATGTAATAGGTTAAGAAAGGATTCTAGTGTGCTAATAGAATGAATTTTGAGGATTATGAAAAACAACTTTTTTTCTCTTTTATGCTGCTTCTAATCTATGATAGAGCGCCTCTTCCACCCCTCCGTCATTGGTTGTGATCCTGGAGCTGTTTCTCTGGTGTGAGTTTTGGTTACTGCTGAGAACAAATAGAGCCAATGCAAAGTCATGCCCCAGGTGTGTCGGGAACTCCGAGAGGGGCTTGCTCCTTCAAGCTCAGATTCTCCCTTGAGACACGACATGCACACAAACACCCTCCTTCATATCTGAACATACTCTGGGGGCCTTATTCCGAAGGGGCCACTAGAACAGTAGGGCAGTTCCCTGTGGATCCAAAAGATTCCCGAGCACACCCAGCCGCGGTCTCTGTAGCTTACGCGGTCTTTCCCTCGCTGTCGTGCTTGGTGGCGCTGGCCCCCTTCTTCCCCAACAGCGACGCCACCTTCTCCGCATCTCCATGCTCCACGGCCTGCAGCAGCCGGTCATCATTCTTGTTCCACTCATTCGTCTGTGGGAGCAAAAGGGAAACATAGGCTGTGAACAAAACCACCCTAATAGGACTCCCCGTCTCCCCTCTCTTTCACATCAAAACCCAGGAATCAGTGGGGACAGCTCCCAGGACTGAAACCCATGGCTGGCATGTCCAGTGGTCTGGGTTTAGTCCCTGGCACTACCAGGGAGCCCCCACCCACATAATTTTTTCGAATTTGCTATTTTAAAGAGAGCAACAGCATTTAAAAATCTCTCCCAACTAAGTGATCTTAAGCAATACCTTCGTCCTCACCGTGGGCACCCCCAAGAAGCCTGGCTTCCCAAAAGAAAACATCCAGAGTTCGATGGAACCGCAGCTTGTCACCGAACTCGGCAATCGAGTGACTTTTAAGTGGGCTGGGGAAGAGGGAGTCATTTACTGAGACAGGACCCGTTTACACATTAGCTTAATTCCAGCTCAATTCCAGCTGGCTTCTCAGTGTCCTGGCCTTCGACCCAGGTCACAGCTCAGAGGACCTGTGCTGTGTTAGGGCACCGCATAGCCACTAGTTCAAGGTGACACCTAGATACAATGCCTCATCTGCTTTTTTGACTGTTTCTGGGGCACACCTGGTGATGTTCAGAACTTGCCCCTGGCTCTGTGCTCAGGGCTCGCTCCTGGTGGTGCTCAGGGGACCCTATGGGGTAGCGGGGATTGAACCCAGGTTTGCCGCATGCAAAGCAAGAGCCCTACACACTGTACTATGGCTCCAGGCTTCTCCTCTGCTTTTACTGATACTCTTTGCTGTTTGCCGTGTCCCCTAATTTCCCTCCCTCCCCTCCTCTCTTTCTCCCACTGACTTAAAGTGGTTGTCCAGGCAACCATTTTGGTAAAATATGCCCAGAAACAAAATTTCTTCTCAAGCAAACAATTTAACCTCACCCAACTTTGGGCAAAGCCTTCACCACCATCTATAAAATAATTCTGGAAGTCATAGGAGCAATAAAACTCTTGGGCACCCCAAATGTATTTTCCACTCTTACACAGGCACACAAGGCTTCGATCAAGAAAAAAGAGGGCCTGAAGCACAAGTCTAAGAAGTTTCCAATGTGAACTGGCAGCAGGGAGCCAAGGAAAGTTATAAAACAGAAGTGGGAGAATACAGGAGGGTTATCACGAGGTGCAGGGGGGGAATATATGCCTCATTCAAGCGGGGACAGAAAGTCTGGGGCACATCAAAGCATGCCCAGTCTGCCCTCTGCCCTTCCCTGCAGCACGTTCCTGAGACTCCTGCTGGCCCCTTCAGCTGTGGACGGTCCTTCCCGGTCCTTCCCACTGACTTGTCCCTGATGCTTCCTAATGCCCCCAAAGATGCATCTACAGACAGGGCAGAGTGTGTGCCACAAAAGATCACTCCTGGTCCCACTGCCACAAAATCAAGACCCACTCCCCCCACCACCGGAATATCCAGGCACAGATCTTGGATATTTGAAAATGAACAAGGGAGAATTTTACAGGATCAAGGTTTTCCTAAAGCTCAAAATCCTAACTAAACATTACCAAAGGGTTCCTCTAGAACAGTACTGTTTAAAGTTAGGAGAATGCTGTCTCTGTGCACATCAGGAATTAATTACACCAGGAGGCCAGGGATGGGCCCCAGAAGTGATGGTGTCCCTCGGGAACACCAGGAGATCTCTGCAGACAGTTCTGGTTGTCAGGATTTGGGAAACTGTACCGACACTAGAAGGTGAAAGGCTGAGGGTCTGCTCAACTGCCTACAAAGGACAAAATATCCTTCCCAACTCCCCCAAAATAGTTATCTGACCTATGGGCTAAGGGTGATAGTACAGGGGTAAGGCCCAAGTCTACAACCCTGGTTTGATGTCGGCACCATTTATAGTACCCTGAGTACCGCCAGGGGTCACTCCTGAGCACAAAACCAGAAATAGCCCTGAAGTATCAAAGCATCACCCGGTGTGGCCCCAACAGCACCCAAAAAGAATCATCTGGCAAACAAACAAACAAACAACCAGCAATGAGTCACACATGGCTACTGGACCCAGGGAATGTAGCTAGTGAGATGAAGCACATATCTTGGGAAGTGTGATATGTATGTCCTGGGAAGGGGAGTGGAGGAATATGCTAATATATTCTTCCACTGAGCTATCCCCCAGCCCCAGAGTTGACTTTTCAACTCGAATTTTAGACATCAAGTGCCTGTAGGTAGTGGCCAGCCCACACCAGTGCAGCTCCATGCGAGTCAATATATTTATATTCAGCTTGATCTATTATAGTCCTGTTTATTTAACCCCAAACAGCTAAGACACAACTGCAAAATAAAGTTAAGGGGCATTTTCATGACCACAAAACAGTGATGCTAATGAGTTCAGTTATCCAGGCTAATGAACAAAGTACTGTCTACCTCCACCTTACTGTATCCCCACTGGGCCTTTTCTTTCTTTTTTAAAATTGAGGGTCAGTGATTTTCAATGTTGCTAATACTGATGTTTTGGGAATACAGTGCTGCTACACCACACCCACCGCCAGAGTCCAAGCATCCCTCCACCTCGTATCCTGGTCTCTGGTCCTCTCTCACGCTTCCTCTCCCTCCCCCAATCCCTCAGCAAACTCGGTTCTATTTGAGAAAACAGAGCAGTGGGACAGTTTGGGTCATACTTGTCAATGCTCCAGGACCCCTCCCTGTTTCTGCATTTAGGGATCAGTCCTGGCAGTGCTGTTGGACCTTTTCTGGTCCAGGGGATGGAACCAGGGACCACTGTGTAGAAGGCAAACGCCTCCACCTCTTACATCTTCTGCCTCTTCAATCAGTTCCACAGGTGGAGCCTCATGGGCTGAGATGCTGGCCACTCTTTATTACACGAGACAGATAACTTAGCATTTGTCCTTCACCCTTTGATGAGTCAATATTTTTAACAAAGCAAAAACGTGTCTGGGTCAATGTCGTGCACACTTCCATAACAATCCACTTGCAAAGAAGACATCAAGTTTTGGTCTGAATCCTAAGTCAGGCTGTTTATTGAAGGGAAAGACTAAATATACTGCCCCTGGCACAAGAATTCATTAGCAGAACAGGAAGCTTTCCTTGACAACAAAAGACACCACATACCCACAACAGATTGCAGCTTATTTGCCCCAGATTGCATTCTTTATGTCAAAACAGAATTTACAAGTTTACTGAAGTACATTTGGGCCCAATGTCTCCTACCTACATTATACCCACAGTGTATTATTAGTATTGTCTCTTAACATCCTTTCTCAGTGTAAACCAGTCAAATGAGAACTGGGCTGGGAAGATCAAAAGAATATTAACTCTCGTAGCGCATGACTGAAAGCGTTTAAGCAGGGGAAGACCACATGAAAGGATTTTCCTTTTCAGTGTGGCTAAAGGCACTCAGTTCTGAGGGAGAAGAATCTGATTGTGGGGGCTCCCTAAAATTAGTTACACATGCATTCTTAGGGAGCTCCATTTCTATAGGAGACAGCAGGAAAGCGCTCCCCCCCCCCATCCTCCCAGACACATTCTTTGAAGGACAAGGTCAATGACACATCCCTCAAACCCTAAAATTTTCTTTCATCTAGTCTCCTCAGGGCAGCCAGAAGGTACATTTCTCTTAGACCAGATGAGGCAAAGAGGACATGGTTACACATTTAATGAATTTCATTCATTTATTCAGTCACTCTAAACCTGTCCCTGCAGAAATTCTTTTGTGAAACTATTCTATCCAGCGCATTCTATGCCCCAAATTCCACAGCCAATCACAAACATGAGATAAAAATGTGTGTTTAATAAACATTTCTAATGTCACTGCTTTGACAAAGCCAGATGCAAATTCCTCTCCCCATTCTCATTCCCTCTGCCGGGAGAGACAAAACTGAACTCAAGCATCACCAAGAATCTGAAGCATTTATGCTTAAGATTTATCTTGCTCCGTCTTGTGTCCAGAGGTAGGGCTGTTCAAAGAGGTTATGATATTGAGAAATAACAAGAAATACTTCTACAGCTCTGTCCTTGGTTCCCACACAAGAGCTTCTTAGAGGCAAAGAATTTCCTTAGTGAATGGTTGAAAGGAGCCTCTTTTGTTACTCCTCAGAAGCTTCTTTCAAGCAAAGCTGAGTTCATATTAATGAGATCTCCCTCATACACACACGGGAAATCCCTAGATAGCTTCAGGACAGGGCTGGTTGCCAGAGGAACCAATCTGTGATTAGCGGTTGGAATTTGCGGTGTCCTCCTAGCGGGGAAGGGATGCAGATTGAGTGATGCACCAATGGCCAATGGTTTAATCAATCACCTACAGATGTTCTGAGCCATCCATGAAGCTTGGGGAAGAAGGGGTGGGTGTATGTGGGGATGGGCTAGATGCTACACACACACACACACACACACACACACACACACACACACACTTTTGCTTTTTACCTTATGCTGTTCCTGGGTTGCAGCCCTCAAAATAAACTAGCAGTAGGCCAGAGACAAGGTTGATGCTGTTTCAATTGTTGGCATGGCCAGTGGTCAGACCTGAGCACCATCAGTGCGGCCTCCCCACAAACAAACAAACAAAAAATCCTCAAACTAAACTAAAATGGTACTTTCCAGTTCATAAAGGACCTTCTTGAGTTCTGTCGATCTTTTTAGTCAATCATCAAACTCCAGGAAGGGTTTCATGGAACATCTCTGTTTTCCCCGACACTTTAGCTGGCCTGTCAAGTCTCAGGAAAGGGTTCATAATTGGCACTGAGATAGATCTGTCTTAAGTCTTGTGGGACTGAGGCTTTTTAAGTCTTGTGGGACTGAGGTGTGTGAAGTGATCTCTGGGTCATTCAACAAACGGAACTGCTGGGTACCCAGCTTGGTGAAAAACAAAGAATAAGTTGGTGTGAAGCACAGAATTCCACAAGTTTATTTTAGAAAGATGTCTCTGGGCTAGGTGGATTTTGACATTCTGCCATAACATCTCCCAACCATAAGCTCATATACTCGCACTGGAGTGGACTCTGAACATACTCAACGGCCC